CCGCGCTATCCCATCGGCAATGATACCATGACGCGATCTTGGGGCTCAGACTCGTCCTATGACCCGGACTATTTCACCCCTATAATAAACGAGCTTATAAGGACGCGATACCCTTGTCACATGGAGAATCGGCTATGTCCGTGGGAATTCCACTGTGCCACCACTAGCGACCCTCGGTGCTCCGATTTCCTTTCCCCCGACCACACCTACTACTTCACCCACCCGGGATTCGTTGAGATCACCACCAATTTTCCTCCTTTCCGCCTCCTTCTCCCGTATCATCAACTCAGTGTCGTTCCATGGCCAGCCATAGCCCCCTATTGGCCCAAAACGTTTTGCGTAAACTGTCGACGCAGCGGCGCACAAAGAACCCCGGAATTCTGAAGGCCCACCCAGCTACGCGGCGGCCTGCGCCACGTGGCGGCCCCCGACAGCCTAACTTTTCAGGACCATCTCCACTGCGGAAGAATTTTCCCGTAACCCGTCACCCGCAGTATTCCGGCCCCTTCGGACTGTGAGACCCTTGCGCACGTACCCCTCGTTCGCCTAATTGCGTTCATGCCCTTAAGACTCCCCCACTTTTCCCAAAAATCCTTGGCACACCCCTTTTCGCACTTCCCGGCCCACACTCCACTCTGATCAGGAAGTCGCGCTGGGCGTGAGGTTGGTATCGAAGCCCGACATGTGGCTAGGATCTTAGGATTGATAACACATTAATTCGGCGACCTGGCGAACCGTGGGCAACCTTGCCCTCGGAACGCGCATAGACGCAACCCTATCGTCACCAGAAGCAGATCGGCTAACCGACGAGCAACCAATATGGCTGCCAACGTGCAAAATCCAGTTCCGCAACAAAATGCTAATCCACCTAATCAACCTGCCCCACGTGCACGAGCTCCCATGTCGCCACCAGATCTCTATCTATTTGATCCGACGCACCATCTCGCAGGAGCATGGCTGGCCACGCTTAGAGCACAACAGTACGATGATCACGAAGCATAGATCAACATTACGGCTCGAATGGGAGGAGACACTCATCATTGGTTTAGTACCTATGTATGGGTGGATCTCCCGACCTTCGAACGGGATTTCATGAATCGATTTGATTATGTCCACCCCGAGCAAGCGCTGTACATGATCAACGACCGAGTGCAAAAACCGCTCGAATCAGTTGCGGAATATCGAAACCGGTTCTACCGAATGTTCGTAAAAACTGAGCGAGGTGAGCAAGTAGGGAGAAATTTGTTCATTGACGCACTCCGTTGTCGAACAATAAGGGCTAAGTTGCGAAAGCAGTTTTCCCCCATCACCCATACGCTACAACAAATTATGGCTGCTGCGGAAGAAATGGAATGGAAGTTCAAGGCGAACTTCCTGGAAGGAGAAGATTACCCTAGAGACGGAGATTCGATCGAGCTCGCTCGAGCAAGAGCAGAGCTGGCTGCTTTACAGAACAAATTCGAAAACATGGGGGTTGTATCAGGACCTGTCACCTATATGGAACAGATAGGCCCCAAACGAGTAATCCTAAGTGAGACTCCGAGCATCTCTGCTCCTATGATGCCCCCGCCCGTAAGGGCATTACCCCCGCCGCCGGTAGAGGCTCCTGTACGATCAAACGAATCGGCGGCCATTTTCGAACTAACCAAAACTTTGATTAGTTTGATCCAAGAAAGCAAAAAAGAGCAGCGAGAGCACAATGCTCGATTGGAAGCCATGATGAGGAACATGCGACCTATTGCGGTGCGTGCCCCTCCGATGCAACAAGGATTAGCCCCCGCCCCTGCTCTCGGAGGAGCTGCGAACAATTTGAATGTTTGCTACGCCTGTCATCAGCCCGGACATCTAGCCCATGATTGCCCCCACCGACCCCCACAACAGCGGATCGGAGTCGCACCTATGGCTGCGGCCCCCTTTGCCAACGGACCTGGACGAGTTGGAGCCTTGATGAAAGAAGTAGAGGGTGGGGGAAGTGCCTTGGCCACCACGGAAGAGGCCGCCGAGCTAATTCCGCTAGATCAGTATGTGTCGCTGGGATATCCTGGGCTAGGAATGATCGGAACAATCAGACCAGTGCCAGAACCGAAAGAGGTGGCGGAGTGGCGACCGTCCTTAGGAGAAATGGAGTCGGGAGGACCCACCTTCGTCACAGGAGAGATCGATGTACTAAACATCATCCGAGCCTTGGACCATCGGATTCCCCTTTCGATCAGTCATCTACTCTCGATCTCCGAGCAAGCCAACGAGCGAATGTTACAGCACTGTAAAGTGAATCGAAAGCGATTCGCTCCCGCCCGAGCACCGAACGTAAAAGCCAAAGGCCCCGCACCGGAAGAAAACCCAACAAGCACTCCGGATCCGATACGGATAGGATTAATTCAGAAAGACGATCATTTCCTACGGATTAAACCCATTCCGTGGAAATCCGCAGAGCGCGATATAGAAATTTGGGGAATTCCTTATAACGCCATTATAGACTCAGGGGCAACTGTGTTGGCTATTTCACTGAGAGTGGTCGAAAGGGCAGGCAGGAAAAACGATCTGATCATGCTCACCGAGAAAGATCGGCTCGTCTTGACAGATGAGGAAAAAATTAAAACTGTGGGGAGAATGACAAATGTCGCCTTCCGATTAGGAAAAGTACACGCGCTTGGGGATGTCGTAGTACTAGATGTTAATACGTACGACATTCTTTTCGGACTTCCCGCTCTTGTGGCGTTACGAGCAAACCTGGATTTCGAACGACGATCGATCGTCCTCCGAAATAAAGGAGGAAAACCCTACGCTGTGCCCATGCGATTGACCCTTCACACTACTATTAACGAGGTTCCGCGGGTTTCGCCGATGATGGCAGGGACTCTCCGCATGATCTCCTAGGACGAACCCGCAGAAGGGAAGCCATCAACTAATGATGCGGAAAGCAGTAACGAAGATGATCCGGAGATTTGGAAATTGGTACGACAACGCGTTTACTACCCGCCGCCCAAGACGATAGCGAGAACGATGCAACTGACCAGCCGAAAAATTCAAAGGACCAAGGCGATGATCTTGGGAGAGCCCCTCGTGCAGATTTCGAGGATGRTCGACTCTTTGGAACCCCCTCAAACTCTGTACGAAGGGATCACCCCTCTCCTCGCCAGGTATAGCGACAAAAAGCATTATTGCGACATTACGGAACTACCTAGGTCTTTACTAACATCGGCTAAAGAAGTGAGATTGTTATGCTTGGGGGCGGAAGCAAGCTCTCTGGAACCCACTGGGCGTTTTGAAGCAGAAACAGATGGACTGGGGATAAAGATTGCAACTAAGGAAGTGTCATGGCAAGATGTCTGCGACGGGATTACCCCGGAAGGACACGTGGCAATCCGAGAAGAAGATGCTCAGATAATGGTCACGGTGTTCTCCTGGCGATCGGATCATTCATTCATCTCGACGCCTCCACCCGACTTGACAAAACAGGCGAACACGAAACAGATGGACGTTCGGATCTGGGACCAACCTTTTGAATTGCACGTTCCACAATATGTGCCGGATGAAATCCACCGGATGATTGTGGATATTCTAACGGAATACCAAGGAACAATTAGTGTGTCAGGCACTGACATCGGGTTGTCGTTAGTAATCCAACATGAAATTCAGATAGGAAATCACTCCCCGATTCATTGCAAACCTTATCGCTATTCCTTGATTGAACGCAAAAAGGCTCTCGAACGAATTCGGAAGTTCGAAGTAAGTGGATGGATTGAACCCGCTACCGGACCTTGGTCCTTTCCCGTAGTGTTAGTACCAAAGAAAAACGGGGCGATCCGCATTTGCATTGATTATCGCAAGCTGAACGAAATCACGATCAAAGATGTGTATCCCCTCCCCCAGATTGATGATCTGTTGGATGCGATTGAATGCGCTAATTATTTCAGCAAGTTTGATATTCGGCATGGCTTCCATCATATTCTGGTAAGGGAAGAAGATCGGTTGAAAACGGCCTTTGTGTTGTTTGAGGGTACGTGGCAGTGGGTTCGGTGTCCGATGGGGATTTGCAATGCGCCTGCCACGTTTCAGCGAGCGATGAACATGACGTTCCAGAATTTTGTCAACAAGACACGGCTGACGCAAGGGATGATCAACTTCTGTGTGATCGTATACATGGACGACATCCTGGTCTATTCGGAGACCTATCACGGGCACGTGCAACACATCGAATGGACATTGGGTGCACTGAGAGACGCTGGGTTTAAGATTGCGCTTGAGAAGAACGAATTTTTCCTCTCAGAAATTTCGTTCTTGGGCTATGTCGTGACACGTGGAGGATTGCGGCCAGACTCGAGAAAAGTTGCGGCGGTGAAGGAAGCCCCGATTCCCACGTCACTGACGCAGGTTCGAGCCTTTTTGGGGCTGGCGTCGTACTACCGGCGCTTCATCAAGGGCTTTGCCGCGATTGCACGACCACTAACGAACATGTTACGGAAGGACCAACCTCTCAGTTGGGACGCGGAGTGCCAGCAGACCTTTGCAACCCTCAAAGACGCTCTGGCAACGACCCCTATTTTGATTCGGCCGGACCCCTTGAAGCAGTCCATTCTCATCACGGACTGGCAACCGGAAGCTATTTCCTCTATTCTAGCGCAGAAGGGGAACGATGGTCGCAAACACGTCATCGAGTACGCGTCTCGAACCGTACCGGATGAACGAAGAAACGACTCAGCACCTCAAGGTGAATGCTATGCAGTGGTCTGGGGAATCCAGCACTTTCATCCGTATCTCTACGGACAGAAGTTTCGCCTCGTGACGGATCACGAGCCTCTGCTAGCTTTGAAGAAGCTCACCAACTACACGGGCATGATTGGCTGTTGGGCGGTGCGACTACAAGAATACGACTTCGATATCGTCCATCGAAAGACGGAGCGACACGGCAACGCGGACGGGCTGACACGTCCGCATCGACCTGCCAAGGTACCAAAGGGCGAGGAAATTACACCGTGGAAAGAGCCGGACCTGACTAACGAGCCGAAGTACGGACAAGTGGCTGTTCTCCCATGTGGCAAGAAGCAAAACGGTGGCGATGGGTGACGGAGGTAACCCCACTACCCCTCTCTCCCCCCCTTCCTCTTCATCTCTCCTCTCCCTGCCTGACAAATTTTGCTATTTTTGCGAAGCCATCTCCCGCGTATACTCGGTCTCCACGTGTCCTAACGGGAAGGGGTATGCGGATTGGATAGATTGCCGACAGTGTGTTGCATGAGCCCATGGCTCATGCATCCAATACAAAAACGATAGTAAACCATGGTTGTGCCCCTTGTGCCTGACCGACAAGATTCCGGCCAAGGCTCGCTTTTTGGACGCCACGTCAGAAGGATTGGAAAAGACCCGAAAGTTTAGGAGGGTTGAAGTATGGACGGATATTGTCTTAATTGCCACCCTAGTAGGTAACCCCCTCCAGGATTTCACCAAGGAAGATCGGAGGAGGGCCAACGAAAGGGCTAGAGATTATCGATGGATAGAGGGTAAATTAGAAAAACGGAAAACGGACGGCAGTGGGATTTGGATGGTAGTGCCGCATCCGTTCATGCGGTACGACTGGGTTAAGACAGCCCACGAGGAAACTGCGGCCCATTTTGCCGTACGAATCACGGAGTCCGCTATCGACAAAAATGAGTGACATTGGTCCAATATCCGCGACGATGTGAAATACATTGTCACCAACTATCAAGTCTGCGCCGCTGACAAGGCGCCGATTCAGCCACCAAGATCGATAGTGCCCACGGTTGTTGAACGACCATTTCAAAGAGTGAGCATGGACACTACCGACATAGTGGTGCCCCCTGACCCTAATAGTTGCGAATATTCAGTCCTATTGGTATTTGTCGACCATTTCTCGAAATGGATCGAAGCGTATCCTTGTCGCACCCGGCAAGCCACGAAAATCGCACGGTATGTCAACCGTTTCCTTGGGATGCATCAGGATACGGAAGAAATCCTGACCGACAACGGGGCTGAATTCAGGGGAGAAGTGTTAAGGAATCTGGTCCTACATGGCGTCGCCATACGTAACACGGCGCCCCATATGTCACAATCCAATGGGCTGGTCGAAAACGCTAACCGGGTGATAAAGACAGCGTTGCGACGAAACATCGCGGCACGGGATCCGAGACCCTGGTCTGATATCGTCGATCACATCCTGGCGGTCCATCGCGGAACGCCCCACGAATCAGCAGGGCTGAGCCCCTTCCAATTAAGGACCAATAGTGTCGCTTGTGTTTCGATACCAAGCCTCCCGGATGAGTCTACATTGAACCGACGGCCCACCAGGGCCACGACTCGGAACAAGGCCAAACGGCACCTAGAGTTAATGGAACGGTCGTTGCCCAGGCTAGCCCAAAAGCGACAGAAAATGACCGAACTAGCCCAGGGCCGACAGGTCCGGAGCTACGAGGCCCGAAATGGGAATGCGGGTTCGCGGCCCCAATACAAATTGGGGGACGTGGTGCAGGTGAGAAAATGTGTTCCCCAGGGTAAGCTAGTGACTCAATTCTTCGGGTGGTATCGCGTGATCGAGCTCGGCCCCAACGAAGTGGACACCGTGCGTCTCGCCCCTGAAGTCTCTGGCAGTCGATCGGCTCGTCCGATCACACGCCACGTGTCCTATCTTCGCCCCCTCCCCTCTGCTCTGTCTCCTTCTCCCTCGATCTCTCTCTCTAAGGAAGCCGACGACGACGGCTCTGACTCTCCGCCATCTCCCTCTCTTTCCTGCTCCCTCTCTACCACCCCGTCGCCCCCGCCGTCGCCATGAGTTTCGCCATCGAGCGAGCTTTCAGTGATCAGTTGTTGATGCCACGGGGAGAGATCTCAGCCATCCGCCAAGTGCATCATCCACGGCTCAGCCCCGACTTCATGCGCCTTGCGCAGTTCTTCTGCACTGCGGGTGTATACGGCGCGACAGAGTTCCGATTCACGAGCAATCCCCAGGTAGTGGTGCTGGCCGAGGCAATGGCGTTCCAACGGCGAGCGGCCCCGGGAGTCAGCCACGTGTCTACCGTGGTAGTCTTCAGCGGTGACATCACCGCCCTCGATCCGGCGCGGCAAGCCGCGATCAAAAGCACCTTGTACCGATGGGGTCGCGATCTGGCCACTTATTGGGATCGACGGCTCACAAGGCACGGTGACGAGTGCTATCCTGTCGACGGCATCGAAGTCAACACGCTGCGCACGACGCTACGTGAGCCACCTGTCGTCCTCCCAGAACTTGCTCCCTTCCAGCCGCGCAGATGAGCCGCGCGCCGACCTCGACGTTCTCTCCTCCCTCTTTTTTCCCCATCTTCTGGCAGTCCTCTCACTACCCTCGTCTCTCCTTCCGTCGAGAGCCGCTGACAGTACCCATCGTTGATCCGGAATGTTGGTGGTTGTGGCGTGCAGAATTCGTCGAGCTCTCGTTTTGCCTGCTACGAGTGGATCTGAACTGGACGTGGGAAGGCGATCAGAGGCCCTCGTCGGAGATTGTGGAGTTGCTCGTCATTCAGGCGTGGAGGACCAACGTCGCGGGAGATCTTCTGGGATTCGTCTTTGGAGCAGTGGATCGGGGAAACCGATCACAGATCGTGCGCGAACTTACGATCGTGATCGCGCGATTGGCCGACAAACTCCCTCTCGACATCGTCTCTTAGAGCGACGAAGAACCCGTACCACACACCCTCTCAAGAATCTCGCCCCGAGCCTCCAGTGGTCGGCTTGTATCGAGGAGCGCTGGGCGAACGACCGTTTTCCTTCCCGTAGCGAGTACCTGGACGTCCACAGCCTGACTAATCCCCGCTTCTTTCGACAACCAACGACGTTCGAGTGGGTGGCGCTGAGAGCAAAAGAGGAGGCCGAAGAGGAATCGGAAGGAGAATTGAGAAGAGAGTACGGGGAAGCAGCGGCCCGATTGGCCGAGGATGAGGAAGAAGAGCGCGAAGCAGAAGAAAAGTCGGCGGAAGCTGAAGAAGAAGAAGAAGAAGCAGAGGAGGAGACTTCGGAGGAAGAGGAAGAGGCCTATAGCGAGTACAGTAAGGGCGAGCAAAGTGAGAAGGCGGACGAAGACGATAAAAAAGTGGAAAGCGGGGACGACCATGAACCAACACACGACGAGCTCGAGTGGGTACCAGGACCGGATCGGCGAGAGGAGAACCCGGAGGCTGCTGCGCAGCGCAAGAAAGAGATCGCGGAAGGAAAGCGGCTGGCGATCGATCCCGCACCGAACAATCCTTTCAAGGATCCCAAGCCGCCCAAGCCGGAACATGGAGACCTTGCTGCCACGACCTCGGGAGTTGCGATGACAAGGCGCCGATCCCGATCCCGATCCACGTCCCCCTCCACCTCCGCCCGTCCCCCAATTCGTCAACATGTCAATGAGGGGCTTAGCCCTTCGTCCCCGATCCATATACCACCATCCCCTTAGCTATCTCTCTTTCAATCAGTATTTCCATCGCGTCGTCTACCCCCGTAATCCCTTCCCCATCCCCACCTTCCGACATTTCTACTCCGCCCGCCTAGAACTGACTGTCCACCCCCACCCTTCCATTCGGTGTGCTGTCCCCAACTACTCCCTCCACGTTCTACTCCTTAGCGCCGCGTGGCGAGGCCGTAACCATATAGAGGTTTACTGCATCGTTACGGGGACCTTCCCTGCGTGCGAGAACCATGATCGGTTCCGCACAGACATCCTCTGAACCCTCGTATCCCTTTACCCGGACTACCTCGCTTCCCTTCCCCACAGCGGCCAGAGGTTCCCCCGCTTCCATCACATTGTCTGTTTTCAAGAACTTCCATATGACCTCACTGCCATCGGGCGCTTCATACCCGAGCTTGCGATGGAGCCGCCCCTCCCTCCCTCATACGCGTATCGCCTTCCCTTCCCCCTTCCGGTTAATTACTGATGCAGCGGTAATGGACGCGTGTCGTGGCGACGGCACGAGAAAGATCCCGTCCTTGGATCGTCGAAGAGCCCAATCTGAGGAACTAGTAGAAGAGCAGAGTTGCCACGTTGGATGACGTCCACACGCAATCGAACGGTGAGTGGCATATCGAGAATTGCTCCGCGTGTCGATCAATTAGAGAAATCGACACGTGTCAACAAGCAAGCAGGAGCTTGCTAATATTGGAACCCCCTGGGCGTCACATATGTGACAAACCACTTTCTGTAACGTGCGATTTTCTCCGCGGTTGCAACGAGGGATCCTAAGCTGGGAAGATTGGGCCAATTACGGGAACTTGGGATCGGTGGAAAATTGCATCAGTACCCTTGCTTTTTCGTCTTTTTCGTCGCTTCTTGTCGGATGACTGGGGTCGGAACTGGGTGTGTCCTGGGACGGCCGACTGAGAGATTGGTCGGATGGATGTCTGGCGCACCACCACGCGCGCGAATAATAAATGTTGACGTCGTTCTTTCGTTTCGGTTTCGATCTTTTGGGCGCGGACACTACGCGGGAAATTGCTTCGTTCTTTTGAACCTTTCCTTTTCGAATTTTGTCGAGCCCCCCCCCGATGGCTCTCGGAATTTTCGACTTTCCTTCTGGAATTTGTGCTTTTTGCTTTTTCGCATTAGATAAGAATTCAGTAATTAGGACTTTTCCTGCCGCACGGCGCCTTTTGTCTACACGCTTCTTTATGCGGCTGCAACGGTACTCTGATTAGTGGGCGCCCTTAATCGAATGTGTAACAGTAGTTTTGGGCGGGCGCCAGTGTAACTATATCTTTCTTCTTGCACTCCGTCTCTCCCGCCCTCCCTCTCTTCCTTTTGCTGAAATTTTCGTAGGCCGCTGTTTGCATGCTCGATCGATGCGTGGAGAAGGGTTACGTCCCCCACGCCACGGCTCAATCATACAGAACACAGGCGCTCCCTCTAATCCTCACTCTAAGTCCTAGTAATTCCGTGTTCTTCGCGCATGCATGCACGCTATAAATTTCGGCTGCGCGATTAGTCAGCTCTCTTAACCTGTTGTTGGAAGCTCGGGGTTGCGCGATCAGGAAGGGTCGGTACACGAGCGAAGTAAGAGGTGAGTAGAGTAGGAGTTGGGCGATCCGACGGGCTGGTGCCAAACGCGCGAGATTGACGTGGGCCACGACGGACTGTGGGCACGGGCGAATCCGACGGGTGCAGGAGGACCAAGCGGGGTGACAACTTCGTGGGTTGCTGCGTGACGACGGACTGTCTGCATCGGAGAGAGAGAGAGAGGAGAAGAGAGTTGAGGTTGACGGACGTGGATTTGCTGTTTCTTTGTCTCTTCTC